GTAGGTACCACCATTTAAAATAGTAAACAAATCATCTGGGATCGGCAGCGGATGTTGTAGCGCCGCGTTGAGTCCTGTAGAGAAGTCTGCACAGATGCGTATGGAACCATTAGACTTTTTGACAACCACAATTGGTGCAGCCCATGAAGAATAAGAAACAGGTACAGGGACACCTTCAGTTTCCAAACGTTGAAGTTTTGCGTCAACCAGAGGTAGGGATGCATATGGGACTGGATGTTTTGGACGAAAAACTGGCGTAGCTTCTGGCTGAAGTTTCAAAACAGCTTCAGTTGTGGAACAAAGGCCAAGACCAGGCTGAAAGAGTTCAATGAATCGTTTTTGGAGGTCTGCAACATGCTGTTGTGTAGTAGCAGGAGTTTTTACTTGATTACAGATAGTGCTGATAGGTAGATTGGCAAGACCAAGTTCTTCGAACCAATCTAAACCCAGAAGATTGAGAGGGGATTTGGTGATGTAGCACGTACCATTGAAGGTTGTACCTCTGAACGAAATACAGCAATTAAGTTCACCATGAAGTCGGAGATGACCACCACATGCACTAACGGCTGTCTGCGAAGATGGTTTGATGGGCAGTTGTCCCAAGGTTCGCCAAGTCTTTTTCGACAGAATAGTGATATCTGATGCAGTGTCCAACTGCAATCGAACTGGCTGACCATTGATTGAGAGGGTTAGAAATTTGCGTCGCGTGGCGGCATGAGTGTGAAAGACTGCTGCTAAACTCCTTGATGAGGGAAGCTGCTTTTTAGTATAACGACGTTGCGTCTGTGCATTTCGACGACTATTGGGTCGATGGGATTGGCAAAAACCGCTTTTGTGACCAACTTTATGATAGCGATCGCACACCTGCTGTTTGAATGGACAAACTTTCACATAATGCCAGGCTCCACAGTGCCAACATGGAGAGGGGGCTTCTTCTGAACCGGTCTGGAGTGATTAGAGAAAGAAGTAGCACTGTCTTCCGTAGGACCACAGGTTGTCGATCTCGGAGATTTGTTGTGACGTTGAACAGAGTGAACTTCGGAACCACCCTGGCCCCCAGATTGGACCAAAGTGGTGTCACGCTGCAGGTTGACAATGAGTTGATACTCGTCGGTGATTGCATTAAGTGTTAGCGATGGGTCTTGTTCAAGGCGGTTCAGCAATCGAGTTCTGATGTCGGAGAATTTGGGTGATTGAAGACTACATATGAATACGAGGGATTTGAATTGGTCGTCGGTAAGGGATTTGAGCTTAATCCGTTCGCACTCACGGTTGACAATGCCAACATGGGTTAGCAAGTCATCGGACTCGTCCATGACCAGTTTTAAACAGCGATAGCGAGTATTGAAAAGTGAATGATGGTCACCAAAAAGTTGGCTGAGAGTTTGAACAGTGGCATCGAAGGAACGGTCTCGTGGGTTCTGCGGTAGAATGAAGTTGCAATACTTATCAATCTCTGATGGACCAAGTTTTCGAAGGAGAAGACGCACCTTCCACGAATCATCTCTGTCAGCAAGGTCGACTTTAAAAAAGATCTTCATAACGTCTGAACCAGGTACCAAATGTAATTATTGGCATCAGGATCATAAAGAAACTCTGAAATACCACTGGTAATACCGTCGACTGATTGAGGGATTGTTGGTGTGCATGAGACTCGAGAAGAGATCTGCGTCTGAATAAACATATCCATCAGCTTCAGCTGTTGCTTGAACAATTCTTCTAATTTAACTGGATCCATAGCTAGTCAGCAACATGTTTGCAAAATCTCCGTCGCCAAATTGTTATAAATTGCCCAAATATTACGTATTGCGATAGGACTACACGAAATTCTACCGACTGACCAAATTCAGATATCCTAGTTCGACCCCAATACTGTTCCCCAACTCTAATAAATCAGGACACAGCCGTTAAATGAGAATTGTTTATGGGGTCAGCAGCAGAACAGAAATGGTTTACAGACAAGGCATATTTATACAGTTAAGATGACTATTAACAGTAACCAATGGAAGGGGAGGACACGTAAAGGTTATAATTAGGACAACTCAAAATTGATCAATAGGAAAACGACATATGAAAGTCATAGTTAGGACAACTGTAATTAATGACCAATAGGAAATAACATGTAAAATATGTGAAGAGTCTGAAAACATGCCACTTTACATTCAAGATAATTTTTGGGATATTCCTGTTGATATCCTAACAGAGGGTGAAGGAGCACAAACAATGCTTGAAACACATTCCTAAGTCCTCAGATGATGTAAGGAAATTGGGGACCAAATCAGCGATAGCATTATACTCGATAGAATCGGGTCATACAATTGATTTCGTTTGCATAAGAATCCTTCAAAAAGATTTCAGTTCTTACAAAGAAAGACAAACAGCTGAAGCCCTATACATTTGGGCTAATCCAAACAATATTAATAGGAGGGATGGAATACAATTAGCAGTGCCATGGCAGCTAGTCATTAATAAGCAAAAACCTGAACGCCTTTCCGTTTTATCTATCTCGTATTATCTAAGTGAAAACAATTACATTCAATGATTCTATTCAGTTGTCTTATCGGAATTTGTTAAACAATTAATTGGAACATTGAATATAACACATATATTCAGTTTCAAATTAAATTCTTTCTCTTCGAATTTCACTCTTTTATTTTTACTTCGTTTATTTATTTTCATTGTATACAAGCTGTGACACATATGATTCATATCATACACTACAAATTGTATGTTTTCTTATAAATTCACCGATAAGAGACAATATATACTGTGAATGAAATTTCTCCTCTAACCACTTACGTTTCTATACAATATGTTATATTACAATTATCATTTCACATCACAAATCTCTTACACACTAATACATATACCTAGTTTAGACTTTGTTAACGTTGATTGGATGACCTATTCAGTGTACAATGAAACGAAGAACCATGTACCTATTTATATTCGATAATTTTGATGTTTGATTATAATTCTTTGAAAAAGCTTGGACCAGATTGCCAGGCGAAACGTTGGGTTTACTTCAAATTCATTCGCTGAGATTTTACAAATATATAATTCCTATTTAATATTTAAAGATATTCCTAAGAAAATTATTAAGTTGCAAAATGTTTATTATATTCTTCTGTTCTGTCTGTCTATCTTCTTCTGAAGCAATAATCTTGGTAACCTATATGTCACTGATGAGAGTAACAGTTATCTATCATATCAAGGTAGCAATGAACACTAGCTATTATAAAATGTATAACTTTCAAGTGATTAATGAAAAATATGATGAACATAGATTATTGATTAATACATTAGATGATAGATAATTTACAGTATATTTGACTGGAAAACACTCGGTACACAACCAGATTTGGTTTCTTTTTAACAAACACGTTATATAATGGTATGATGATAACTATGAGCACAGTTTATTGGATAAAAACAAAAAGAGATTTTCAAGAATAAACGATGTCCAACGTTAAGTATAAATATTCCAATTTGTAACATCTAGAAAGTGATTTTCAGAATAAATCGAATACTCAAAAATAAAAATAGGTTCACAGATCGAACCCACTTCAGTATTAGTAAATTCCTGCGCAACTAGAAATATTAAAAAACTTCTGTAATATATACAGTTGACTCTACTGTTAAATTGAATTGTTTTTTCTCCTAGAAGTCGTATGGTATATTACAGTAAACATGTTAGCTCAACAAAACTAAATGTAAAATTGTAAGTATAGAAATCCTAATACCCAATGATAGACTAAGACACTATAGGGTAATAAAAGACAACTCCACATAACTAACGTATACTAATGAATATTTATTTTATTTGATGAAATAGACAATGTACTTTTTGACTATATAAATAATAGAAAATTTGATAGAGTAACTAAACCCAGTCATTAATACTGCATTAATGACATACGCATTACTTACTTACTTACGCCTGTTACCCCTCGTGGAGGAGCATAGGCCGCCCACAAGCATTCTCCACCCAACTCTGTTCTGGGCAATCTTTTCCAGTTGTTATTCATCTTTTTCATATCTGCTTATTCCTTCAACTCCCAGGGCAGAGTTTAAATGGTCTGAATTATTTTTTCTGGTTAGCGTTCTTTTAGCGAATTAATTTTTCTACAGGATGGGGTCGCTAACCCCATGCCCAACCCTCCTCCTTTACCCGGGCTTGGGACCGGCAGTAACTCTAAAAGAGCTGCAGGCGGAGTTGACATAAGCATACCAGTGAAGTATTTTTATTGGAGATTGCAAACTTACCATATTATTGTCAGCTAAATACCATAGTAAGATTGAGTATAACCAAAATTTCTTGATGAACAGATATGTAGCCAATAATATTTAAATGGAGTATGTAAAGAAAGAGTCTGTTTCAAATATCATTTATCATTCATACACTTCTAATGGATAAATATTTAAAAGAAATTAAGGAAATGAATAACGTTGTGTGCCATGTTTTATTTAAAACAATACATACATGAATTATGAGAAAGGAACTCATCATAACAGATTTTATGTCACTGGAATATCTTTTTATATTGCGAAATAATAACTTCTCATTAGAATAATTATTGCTATTTATCAAATACAGTGGCTAGTTTTAAATTGGCTAATCAATGTTTATTTGGAAGAATTGTGGAGATTAGCTAGAATTTGAAGATAGTTTTCTACACTAACTGATAGACTATTAAGACAATCAATGGAAACTGAATATTTCTTTATGGTTTAGGATAATACAGTAGTATTCTTTACTTACTACTTTATAATGAATTAGATGAAAGACATTCAGGTATCGCAGAAAGTATGATACCTTCAACCGACTTAGTGAAAATTCAAAGGTAAATACTTTTTTTGACTTTAGTCAATTTCTGGTGAAGCATATTCATTATCCAATATTATTGATAATGACTATTTCACTTCTGATCACATGGTAATTAATGTTTAAAGAAGGACATTAGAATATTTTATCTAAACCCATCATATATATTAAAAGTTTGTGTAAAAACGGGAATAATCTCTGACTGAAAGTGGATAACAATCAGGTCACTTTCAAGATTATCAGAACTATCTGATCTATTAATTTAATAGCATGTCTATATGACTTTCTAACGAAACAGTAAAACTTTTAAAACTGGTCTAAACTACAGTACTAAGTAGCGGTGACTGGATAATAGGTTCACATATCTGGCAAAATTATAAGTCACTTATATAATACAAAATGTGCTTTGGCTACAATCTAGATACACTTGAGCCAATATATTTGAAAACTACAGTACTATATCATTGTTAAACCAGACAAATATAAACAGCCACACACCGTATCGCGACTAGACAATTCGAAGACTTAAGTATATTTAGAAACTAGAATCCATGATGAAAATGAAATGACTTATTAGGGTATCGAAGACAGTTGTAGGTAATAGGAAGTGCTATAATATTAAACTACGATTAATTAGTTGTAGTAAAAGTACAATTGCATAAAAAACAAATTATCATCCGTTTCGTTTTATAACAAACTATATGCACAGACTTCAAAATACCAAAAAATATTTGTAAAAGTAACAAATCGAATTCCAGATCATATTTCTATATGCCTCATTGGAGTGGTACTAGAATACATGAAAAGTGACGAGGTCCCCGACCTCTTAATAATGTTTACAAATTCATCAAAGAGAAATTAGTTAACGACAAAAATGTTTGGAGATGTACGAAATGTCGTATGGCGAAGCGTAAGTTGGGCTGTTATATGAAATACGGAAATACAAACATGTTCCAGACACAGCTAAGCTCGATGCAAAAAAGTAGTCAAATAATAATAGATAGAGTAGATTTAGCAACGGAAGCAATATGTCTAATCGTAGCTGCGGCATCTGGAGACTTGATGAATGCGATGTCAGCTCAACTTCCAATTGTGATTCGGATATGGTGGACAATTCGGCCAGTAACACATTGTCATCCTGTCACCTTACCAAATCCGAATTCATTGAAACTATGAACTCTGGCATCTAAAATAAGCCTACTGTGAGAGGTGAGAATTCCCTTCTACATAACAATGAACCAGGTGAGAAACTAAATTTGAACTATCCTGAAAATCAGAATTGTTGTAGCAGTGTCCTTAATGGTATGACAACGAAACATTCAAAAGATCCCCACCCTTGTTCATTCACAACCACACAATTTATGCTATGAAGCTCAATACGATCATTTCATTGGTTCAAATTTTAATGAACGAAGAGAATACAAAGTCGAATGTGCGTATCATTATCGGATTAAACAAACTACATCCAACCTTAAATCCATCAACTATCCAAAAACATCTCAGGGAGACATGTTCTTTATTTATAGGAAAAAGTAATACGAAGTACAAGAAAAATAATCAAACAAAATAAGGAGAAACAGGGTGAAGTAAAGTTATTTTATGAAAATATCAACAAATAAAAAGGAATAAACTATAAACATTCTGCGGTTGAATAAACAAAGTGACCACATCATGTTAATTTTGCTATATATGCATTGTACAGCGAATGCAAGAACGCAAATAATTGCAATCATAAATCTTATGGGTGAGTTATGAAAATAAGAATAAAAGGATTACACAATATGAAATATTAATAAAAATGAATATCAATATCCTCGAAAATTTCAGGTGCATATCTGGTTCGCTTAAAAAATAATGGCTCAGTAATAAAATATAAATTTCGAAACTCTTCGGTTCTTCTTAAAAAAACTAAGGTCTCAAAAACAAAAAGAAACTAATGCTTTTTATTACGGTTATTTACAAAAGACTTGCGACCACGACCACGACTAAACTTTGGCGGAGTTAAGGCAGTTCGAATAACATTCTCCTGTTGAAGTTTTGATTCATTTACAACAAAACGAGCCATTTCAATTGCACCGTCAAGTGTTTTATTAGAACCTAAATGACCACTGTTATGCACAAAAATGCAACCTGATATTCCCGTCATTGCACACAATTGATCATCTTGCAGTGAACGCCAGTCGTTTGGGAATGGTAACCTAATTCGATAAAGCAAGTTGTGAATAAAGGTTAAAGAGAATCCTTATGGAGTTTATAAGTACGAAAATTAATACATAAAAAAACCTATTTAGTGGGTTATCAGACCATTGAATAACTGCTCAAACCCATGCAGATAGACTAAGATACGAGGAAGTGATCTATAGATTGAAGGTTAGGGAATAGTGGTAATTAGTAACTAGATACAGTGAATAAAAAAATTGGCTTCAGTGTTTATGCAATTGCCTTTAATGCTAATTTGAAAAGATACACTAGTGATTCAGGAATACTTGCTTCCTTATTAGTATCCTTTAGTAGCGTTTTTTCTTGCATCACTGAGAAACAGAACTGATTGAAATTATGTCCGAAAACCAGACTATACATTGTTTATATATGTCAGTTAGTCATGACAGTGGCTTCGTCTGTAGATCTAGAGTTACCGCCGGTTCCAAGACCAGTTAAAGGAGGAGAGCTGGGTGTGAGATCGGCAATCGCATCCCGTAGAAAACAACCTTGCTAAAACTACACTAACCAGAATAAACAAATCAAAACATTTAAACTCTGCCCTATGACTTGAAGGAGAAATTATGACGCCTCATGATGAAAGTCACAAGATTAATGACCGTTCTAACAACCAGAGCAACAAGTAATGTGGGTAGATAGAACGTCCGAACAATATGAGAGATCCGGAGGATCGAACACACAGATGCCGCCCAAAGAAGCACAAAATGCACTTAAAGGATGGGGATGTCATGGACCCAGGACCATCCTTCAAAACAAAGAAGGTGGGAATTACAATAAATGTCATTCAATGTTATGCACCCATCAATGATAGCAATGACAACGACAAAACAAAATTGTTTTACAAAGAGCTGCAACCGATCGTAGCGAAGTGCCCAGCAAAAAGGACCTGGCCATTATGATGGGAGACCAAAATACAAAAGTCGGAATGGACAACAATGGTTATGAAGTATTATATGACGACATGAACAGACTGGGAGAAGCAAACAAAAATGGTGACAGATTTGGAAATCAAAACATCATTCAAAGCAAAGGAGAGGATTACAATGAATATTATCAAGTGCTGTGCGCCCACCAATCGCAGGAATGAAGACGATGAAGATCAGTTCTACGAGGCTGCAGTAGATCATAGAGGTGTCTAGGAAAGGACCTAACCATCTTGATGGGGAATCTAAACGCCAAAGTCAGAATGGACAACACCGGGTATGAAGACATCATGGACTGGGAGGAAGTGAAGAGAGTGGTGGGAGGTTTGCAAATCTATGTGCATTCAGCAAAACGGTTATGTGTGGCATTATATTCCCCCATAAACGCACACATAAAGCTACATGGCCTTCACTGGAGCACACAACAGAGGATCATATCGATCATATTTGTATCAACAAAAAAATTCAGGACAATGGAAGAAGTGAGAACTAGGAGAGGAGCTGACATTGCTTGAGATCACCGCCTGGTTGTGGCCAAAATGAAACTAAAACCAAAGAAGTAGTGGACAACTGGATAAACAGAATTACCAAGGTTTAATACAGCCTTTCTTTGAAATACTGGCAAACTCAACAAATTCAAGATATCTCTCAAAAATAGATTCCAAGCCTTACAGGATCTACTCAGTGAAGAGGAAACTACAACGGAAAACATCGGTGAAGAGTTTTATTTATTCATTTAAACACATAAATATTGGTACAAAGGGGCACGAGGTATATGTGCGCCGCACAAATCTCATTTCATTTGTGTGAAGAAATCGAAGAAGCACTAACTTAAACGTGCTAGGGGGTTCTCAGCTGCATGAAGAATCATCATAAGGAGAGGGTCTCTATCAATACCCTGGGTTAGGGTCGAGGAACTATTGATTAGACTAACCCCACTGAACTCATCGGATACCAACGTAGCATCTAAAGACCTTCCCCTAACTTTTACCACACCAACAACTGAAGAAATGAACATAACCATCAGACAAAAGAAGAGTGGGGAAGCAGCAGAACCTGAAAACATAACAGCTGAAGCACTGAGGTCACACACAGGAGTAACTGTAAACATGCTTCACGTTCCATTCAGAAAGATTTGGGAAGAGCGAAAGCCGTAAGAATGTGGAGAAGAATAACTCGTCAAGATACCAAAGAAAGGAGATCTGAGCAAATGTGAGAACTACAAAGGCATCACACTGCTATCAGTAACAGGAAAGTTTTTCAAGTGTTGCTGAACCGCATGAAAGTTTCAGGAGAAGCACAACTTCGAGATCAGCAAGCTGGATTCCGTAAGGACCGGTCGTGCACAGACCAAATCGCGACACTACGGTTCATCATTGAACAATCAGTTAAATGGAACTCGTTACCATACATCAACTTTATTGACTATGAGAAGGCGTTTGACAATGTGGATAGGAGAACATTATGGGACCTTATTAGACACTATAGAGTGAGTAGCTGAGAAAATAGTCAACATCATCCGGAATTCATATGACGGACTACACTGCAAAGTTGTGCATAAAGGACAGCTGACAGATGCATTCCAAGTGAGGACCGGAGTCAGACAAGGCTGCCTACTCTCTCCCTTCCTTTCTTCTGGTGATATTCATAAACAATTGTCTAAGCAAGATACAGAATGTCCGTTGACCGGATACCATCAGCATCAGCCTACTATGAGAGAAAACAAACCAGCTCCCAGTTGAAGAGGAAATTAGGAAAACACGCTGAAGTTGAATAGGACATACATTGTGGGAATTATCAAACTGCATCACGAAGCAAGCGCTAACTTGGAATCTTGAAGGGAAACGGAAAAGGGGAGGACCAAAGAATACATTGTATCTGGAATTAGAAGCAGACGTAAAAAGGATGAATAGCAACTGGAAAGGAGAGTCCAGAAGAGAGTTCGACGGAGAATGCTGGTGGGCTGCCTATGCCCCTCAACGAGGGGTAACAGGTGCAAGTAGATAAGTTATGACAACGGAATAACCAAATGTGGAGAAATTTTCTACATATCATTTCAACTGTCGTAAGACAGACATAAGAGAACATGAAATTTATGACTGGAATGAAGAGTCTAAACCTATAAACACAGGTGAATTACTAAGATTCAACACTGACTCATTATTTGAAGCATTTTAGAAAATGAATTACTAAGTACATGATCACAGTCATTGTACAGAATTGAAAATGTTGAGTTAATATTAGGTGTTAAGGAAATGGTCAAAAAACAAAAGCCACATGAGCTTCTTATGTTTGTTGTTAACTTGAGTACAGCAGTTCGATATGAATGACTGTCCTGGACTTATTTCAGTAAGTAGTTGACTTCCTTTACTATCTACTTTATTCGTTTCACTATATTTTGCTAATGGAATGTGACAATTTGTGCCGAAATACATTTGCTTCAGACCTTATATTGATTATGACCATAAGAGCAAAACACGGAGATCCTGTGCAATATATTTGCTCTTAGATGAATAGCTGAGCATCCCAGCGGCATTGTAAGTCAAGGCTTTTGAAAGCCAAACGGGCCAGGTTTAGTGTCACAGTTTTGCAAGCTAGCAGGACTTCATTTGACCTAGCCTCCTAAATAAAATAGTTGCTCACACTAGGATACTTGACTCCCTCTTTCCAAACAAGGTGCCTTAGAAGACTAATTCTGGTATGTTACCCCCTAATTGATGTGAGAGATACATCAAACATTCGATGATCAGAACAGTCAGCTATCAAAGAAAATAAACATTATAGTAAGGTAGTAAGAATATTCTTTCTCCAAGACGTACGGATAAGAATGTAGAAAACATAAATAGGTCTTTAACCTTGTGAGTACAACTACAAATGAGTTTCAAAATAAAATCCGTTGTTATTGAAAATATAAAAAACCACTGATCAAGAAATGAAGAGAATTCAGCGGAGAAAAATCAACAATAATTAAATAAAAATACATTGGCCGCACAAAGCGATCACTTTCCAAACGTACCTCAGAACACTATCCGGTATGGCTTTTAAAAGAATGCAAAACAATTACTAGTTCAATACAGGAGCATTTAATCAATTTTGGATACATCACTCCAAAGGAGTATTCTTTGAAAATACAGTCAGAGGAATTGGATCGAAGGGAAGTCGAATCAAAATCTTATGTACTGCTGAGGCATTGGCAATCCACCATCCCAAGCCCGAACTTTGCGTGCAAAAACGGTACGTCCAACCGCTCATCCTTCCTTTGATTATTATTGATTTTTAAAATTGTTGTTTTGTAGTTTTAAACTGTAATCAGTTATTATTATTGCTTTAAACAAGTTTTCTTGACCATTATTCAGCTTTTATTATTATGACCTTTATGTTTGTCGTTTTTCTTCTTATCTGTCAACTGGACAATTATCTGACCCGTAAATTATTCCCATCCTTATATTCTTTTCTTACCCCTTGGTTATTGCATAACGTCATTTGATAATAGGAGTCTCGAATCAATTTATAATGCAATCTTTTCTATCCTTCTATAGACACGTTTTCCGTATAATTATAAATACAAATGTACGGCTTAAGTGAATGATTTCGTCGAAACGAAACTTTTTTCCGCTGAATTCTCTTCATTTTTATTCAATGACATAATGTGTCATTTTAATTAACCACTGATCGGTTGAAATAAATTTTGGTAACCAAAGTATTTTTGAAGTTGGTAGTTTCAGATCAGATCACGGATAATAGAAGTGACCAGAAGTGAGATGGTGTGAATGGAATTACATGAACATTATAGTAATGATTCCTTATGTTAAACATACAAGGAACTAAAATGATGATAACGTCTAATAAATAGTGATGGAAGATTTGAAAAAATAAGCCTACCGAATGTCGAACTTGTCTTTTGGTACGCCTTGAACAACCCAATTACCATCTGATGGTAGTATGACAAAGAGAATTTGAGGGGGAAACTTTGGTATAGAACGATAACTTGCTTGATGGAGTGGTTCTGGATAAACAACTGTTTCCGCACGTTCTTCACGCTCCAAGTCAAATAGATGGCTCTTCCATGGACAAGATCTATCTAGTACTATAATAGTTTTCGATGAATCTACATCTCCACGACAATTCATTGCTTTGGCTACAATATCTCGTGCAGGCCACCAGCAATTGGTAAAGTAGTCCACGGTATCAAGGAATTCACGACTGACTAAATTGATTGCTCTCTGGAATGCAGTCTGTCAAGGAAACGGTTGAGCAGAAGGTTCGGGACTAATACGTGCAAAATTACGGTTGATAAACATAAATTTACCATGAAAGACTAGTCCTCATAACTTGCAGATGTGATAAAAATAGCATAGAATATGTAGTGATAAATACAAACCCAAGTAAATATATCACGTCAAGTATTAATTTTTTTAAAGTCATTCAAGTGACAAACTGAAATATTTACCAGCAACCATAACAAAAATACAGATATGATTGGGGAAACTGTGAATAATTCATTAAAAACTAAGCACTAAGGGAGTTTTTGTGAATTACAAACAGGTTGTACAAAGGCCACTAACAACTAGTATCATGATGAAAATCGACACACAAAGTGACATTTACAGAGAATCCTTTGAAAATATCTTAAACTAAGAAATAGTATCTCACGATGGTACAATGACAAAGAAATCTCGGACACAATCAGAATAGATAATCCTTTGAAATGGTCATCAGATCAAACAACCGGTGTTTTGGTTTTTGTATAAATACAGCAGTGTCGGAGAGTAATTTGGTATAACAAAGAATATGTGAAGTCGTGGTAAACGACTTAAAACTATGGTGAGGACTTTGCAAACAAACTTATGTTATATGGTTTGACGGACTATATCAGTTAACTTTCTTTACCGTGCAGCCACTCATTTAACTTTATAAGCTTAGTTAGGTTAATTATCAGAGTTGAGAATAACGTTCTGAAGATGCTAAACCCCGCTACATCCAATAGGTCTGTTTCACGGTTGGCGCAATTCAAATGAAGCATTCATGAGAATTGCAGTAATGTCACTGAGTGGTCACCCATAGAATAGCTCTACAAAATCCATGTACATTCCACCAAGTAGTGTTTCATGACTGTATTTACGAAGTTGAGTATTTTCTTCGGGGATAACGGAGCTATGACTCGCAATCTGCGGGAAAAAAAACACTGGTTTTTTAGAGTATCCAGATAGTGTAACAGAGAATAACTGTGACAATCCATGGTATTTTCGTCTTTATTAGTTTCAGATATTTGAACGAGATTTATTTATTTATGTAAACACATACATATTGGTACAAGTGGGGCCAGGGAAGTCCTGCTCACTGCCTTCTCGTGGCGGAGGTGTTGTCTACGAAATTGAGAGGAAGAAAAGCGAATGTCCGGCGCTTTAACCGGGTTGGTGGACATGGAGGGTCCACCTAGGGGAGTTGGAAAACCCTGATTCCAAACCAATGGTGCACATGTGCTCCAGTATCCTGAGGGAACAAATGGCGTACGAATCAACCATTGATAACCGGCTACCATGGGACCGCATCTCCTCACGAAGCTCCACTGCCTTGTGGACAAGACCTTCAGGTCAAAGGCTCCGGGTGTGGCCCCCTAAGAAAACCACCTGCTTCAGTCTAGGCACCTGCACAGTATCACAGCCCTCACACAAATCGAATGAGATTTGTGAGGCGCATATGTATCTGGTGCTTCCTTGTACCAATATTTATGTGTTTAAATAAATAAATAATAAAAAAGGGGCACCAGATACATATGCGCCACACTTGAACGACATTATTACATTTGGAAACCTTAAAACGTAGAGGAGAACATGGTTTATTATTAAACTGGGTGTTGGTTAAGTCTAGTTTTATGGAAAAAATATCAAGGTATGGAACTTATTATCAATAAAGGTATGCCACATGTTTGTAGTTTTCGGTATGCCTTCGATAGAAAGAATGGTGAGACGAAAAAAGTTATCCAAAAAGGTGTTTTCATTACTTTTAAAATTTATGAGAAGGACACTATATTCATTCTAATCGTTTGAAACTAAATTTGACCTGGAGTTTGAACTCTCGTATTTACAAATACAGACAGTAATTGTGTTTATTGTTAAGACGTGTAAATGGTATCGCATTTAAGGTCAGGTTGACTTGGAGTTACAAAATTTCTACGTGATTCGCCAGTGGGGCTGTTATATATTCAAAAGCAGGCGCTTACTAAGAATCTAGAATCAAAAACGTACTTCTGATTCTTCTGACTCGTTATTCCACCAAGGATTAAGTCGTCGAACTCTGCAATATAAACTAGTGCCTATATTGTACCTGGACGATAAAAAGTGAAAGAAAACTCACTTCAAGGGAACTTTAGACTGTGGAATACCGTTGTCCTGCCCATCAATTTCTAAAATGAACGATTCGTATATCTTTAACTAGTTATAGTATTTATTAGAATACTTTCATGTATATCTTTTCTAGAACTTCGTTTCCAATTTCAAGGCCAGTCAGTACAGATAGTACTCTTTTCCCAAAATGTACGTACACCAGTCCAGCACTGCTCAGTTTAACATCCCACATTTTCGCGCCGAAATATTGGGACCATGTTAACGAGAAATCCCTAGAGTGTGAGGATAACAAAGCCTTGTTGGACTTACCTCTGATGATGATCAAAACGAAGTGTTTCAGGGTCGTAAACACCACCAACGTCAACGACTATATCGCAAGCAGACAGTATGTCCGGATCGCGGGATCGCACTACGGCAGCATTTCTGTATTCAGGAAGATATTTTAGTAGGACAACTGCTAACACCTCGTCACAGTGGAAGCAGCCGTTATGAGTTCCAATTCGTTTTTCACTTGTTATTATAGAGCCCATTAGTGAAGAAGTTTATCGCTATAATATACTCGTCATCATTCGGACGGATTATGAGTTGTCTTGGCGCCAACCAATGAGCGGGCAGTGACAAGGTCATACAATGAGCTTGACGGGCCACAACCATGATAGCTAATGTGGCCTTGATATATTACTGAAGTGAGAGAGATTGTGCATTACTTTAATCCTGCGTCCGTGTGACCTAAAGCCAATTTGGTTAGCTAAAAGAAGTGAATACTCCTCTTTCTGCGTTATGTGCTTATTGTTGTGTTAAGCCTAATTTTGAACTCATCACTCGCTACTGAATGACTGCCCACAAGAAAACAGAATGGTAGGACGCTTTCACCGACGATTAAATGCTTCACTATCAGCTGCAAACGTTCCACAGTGGACCGATGCTCTTCCACTGGTCTTACTTGGTATTCGCAATGCAGTGAAAGCTGACATTGGATACACCGCAGCTCAACTCGTTTATGGAACGACACTTTGACTTCCAGGAGAGTTCGTGGATCCTTCATCTTCTTCAATGAAAATGGATCTAAACTCCTACATGAGCAGGCTTATAAACGCAGTGAGTTCATTCAAACCTGTTTCTACTCGATCGCAATTAATGATGTTTTCTTATGAAGGTTGCGTTACGACATGCAACTTATGGTCGAAAATAAATCTATGCGACCTCGGGGGCTTCCAGAAACAGCAGCCTTATATCCATCCGGAATATCTGAGGCTTAAATAATGGTGCGAGACGAATTCAACTGCTCCATATCTGTGGCGTATCTCAAAGGGGCTGAAAAAGGATGTAAGAAAAAGAAAGAACAAGAAGTAGAGCACACAATATTCATGAAGGAATAGTTAAGATATAACTACTTAGTCTATATCTCTGTTATTAAACAAGAGCATTCTAATATATTAAAGAAAATAAGTGTTAACAAGGTATAAGTGGATAAGGAACTATATGAATGAAGGTGGTTCAGAAATAAGCTTGAAAATATGGGATTATGTATAATTATAAAATATAGCGCTGAAAACAGTATTATGATGCACAAATGGCTGTCTCCCTTCTTCTACAAAGCTATTTGAACCCCTTTTCTTTTTAGATTGTACGGGGAATGGAGCAGGCTTCGTTTGTAGCTCTATTCATTAGAAATACTACCCTATTTACTGCCATTGATAACATATCCCAAGAAAATGGGACATGATTAGTTAGCTTCCACTTGAAGTGCAGAGAACAAGAGCTGCTAATTGGTTCGGTTTACCACAGCCCAAGCTGTGAGATGAATGAAGATTTGCTAGACGGTCACAACACTTTGTCATTGAGTAGTGGATGTTTAATCTCAGGAGATTTTAATTCACCTACGATAGACATAGAAAATCTAAGGACTCAATTATCAGAAAACCCTTTGAACAGAAATTCTTTGGTACGGTATCACATATGCCCTAACGCAACATATGAAAGAAGCGACTAAGTTTGACTGGGACTCCGAATCATCCTTACTCGATCTCATACTGACCCATTATGAGGGTGACGTCAAACATCTCCATTATATGCCATGCTGAGGTAAAAGTGACCATGCAGTTCCAACCTTTGATTTCCATATATATGTCAACAACGAGCATATGTCATCACAACCCAGACCTAATGACTGGAAAGCAGATATACAATGTATTATTCACTCAGCATCCTCATCAGATTGGTCAATAGAGCCATAGTCCCCATTGGGACAGCTCAAGATGCATTCAGAAATGTATACTTAAAAGTCACTGCAGTGCACATCCCTCATACTACACTAAGGGTTCCGAGACACCCCCCGTGGTTCAGCATAGAAGTTCGCACACTTCTCCGTAAGGGGAGACATTAAGGTTACTGGTTACTGACAATATCGTGAATCTCGAATTATTTGTGACTCGACTATCATCAAGTCTGAAGTGTTGTACGAAGAGAAACCTGTTAAGGAATCTATAGAATAACCTAAACACTTATACTCGTACATAAACCAAAGGACTAAGAGAAGAGGAAATATTTCACTGGTTCATAATTTATCAACATGAAGTTTGAAATTGATGTTTTATTGTTTAACTTTCAGAGATGTTATCACTGCAGCACCTGTTCCGATTGGAGCTGTCAAAAAACATGGTTTTGGTTTGTCTCAACAACAGCAACAGACACAAAAACGTCAGCCTTCAAATCAACAGACTACTCCTCAGAATGCTCCTTCTGTAAGATCCAAAAGCCCAGCTGTTCGTAATCATTCTTTATCATCTAATATCTCTTCTGTGTCATCAGAAAGTCATGGAGCAGGTTATGCATCAGGAACGCAAAAAATGAATAAAGAATCCTCAGCTACAATGAAAGCTAGTTCAGACATGAACTATCGTGGTTCTTTAAACAACACTGGTCGCGATAGCGATAAAAGCTCCTTACAAGGAACAAAGAAACGAAATATGATAGATGCAAACGGAGCTAAAATTTTTGGTTCAAGCTGTACTCCATCTAATTCTTGTGCCGAAAACGAACTTCGAGAAAGAGCTACGACAATTGTTCAGGGCGTTTGCGAATCAGTTAATGCTTCCTCTTTGCATCATCAACACTGCTCCTCAGTCGTTCTTGGAAGCAAAACAGGAATTTAAAGAGAATGATGATCGTTCTTGTTTAGTAGTACCGGGGAATAATAATGGACTTACTCGCAATGAAAAGTCAGAACTCAGTCGTAGTTTAACAACTATTGATCAGGCAAACCAAATGACCAACAATTCGGATAAAACCGCAAATGTTCCATCCCTTAATCCACAAATTAAAGTATTGCATACAGTCCAAGGCACAGAAGCTCTCGCTTTACGTCTAGAAGCTCTGCGTTTACAGTCTGTGAACTCAACGGCTAAACCATCTTCAAATCCTGAGGCAGCTGCAAATATGTGGGTGTTTAGTGATCTTTTTATGATTATCTTCAAGTACACCATCGTGTGTATTTTATGCATGCATTTTAGATTACATTCTCAATTTAGCGTGGTTATGAAAAAAATCTAGTATAGTATAGTTTTCCTGGTGTAAAGAATAAATTTCTTAATCCTTTATCTTACTAAATATGTCAGCTCATAGTGTTCTTTTGACGATTTTTCATACAAATGAAGTATATTTTTGTTGTGAATTTAGGCAGGACAGTTGGGAGATTCTTCCAATATGCAACGGGATTAATACTAACTGGATGATAGATCAGAAGACTAGTACGCAACACTTTAACAATAACTTCCTATGCGATTGGGAGAGAGAACATTTTTACAAAAAATATGCATTGATAAAAAACCCCAGACAAAATTGACTTTTTGTATAGTAAAATGATGTGCTTATCTACAAATCTTAACATAAAATAAGTATGATGAATTATTGTAAGCGATTGGAAGAAGGTAGTGTTTAGGTCACTCACTCTCCAGTCAATTAAGACCTGATTTTTAGGGCTAGTTTTTGGACATTGCATCATTTTTTAGCACACTTATAATTTGGGATTCCCACATTATTATTAAAGTCCATATTTAGATCCGTGGTAGTTGAGGGATTAATAGTAGGTAAATATTATCATTCTACATTTTAATAATATTCGAGTTTACATATGCTGAAAGTATTCGTAAAGGTTTAAAGTCTATACTTTTGAGTCAATAGACGCTTGGCTTTCCTGTGATCTGATGTATGACTTAACTACGAAGTAGCACTCTTCTAATCCTTTTTATCAGACTTGACAAATTGCAAGAAAAACTGTGTAATAAGCGCCGTTGTTGATATGATAGAGCTTACAAATCCCTTGACAAGTATTTGAGACAACCCAACTAGTATTAAGGTAGATGTTGTTCTATGATTCAGTGGACAATCCTTTTGAACACTAAACACCTCACTTTTACTCCCACAATTTCATTGGTTCATCAGTTAGCCGGATTACATCTTATGATTTTACAACCTGGTTACATGGGTCGATTAGTTTTCAGTTTGTCTTCAGTCAATGAATATTGTGACTGATAAGTGACAGGTCTGTTTGTATATCATCATAATCCGGCTATGACTTCAATACTGTTCACTTGATTGTACCGAAATACACGGGCAATGAGTCAAAGTTACCTAACAACTTACAATTGTAAGGTCACATTTCGCAGCCATAAAGTAGAACAGAGCGGTGTGTTACGCACTATACTCGTCCCTTTAAGATGTCTGTCTGTTATATGCATATTGAATACGTATGACAAAGCATAGACATATTGTTACTATCTAGAATTTATCTCAATAATCTCCTCTCAATTTTCTTTGCTATAGAGTTGTGGATTCCAGTCATCAAGGTTCATGGGGCCGTGGTGTTCTAAAGGCATTAGGTGGATTCTTTGTACAAAGGTATGTTAGTTTTTTGTTAATTAAAATTGTATGTGTTCGTTGAGTTCTTATTTTCTCGTGTCTGTTCTTTTGTTAAAGAAGGAATGAATTTTGCTCTAATATAAAGCAAACATTTATTCCCTTGTGTCTAGGTGATGGCTTCTTTGCATATACTGCTATTCATTGAATACATAGATGTATTTAATTAATAGAAGCTGTTACACTTACAATACATGACAAGTCTTCAAGCAGGTATCCGTTTGATATTGAGACCCTATCGTATGATTAATGCCTCTTTTATAAAAACCTGTGCCTATACTGCACTGTTATCATTTCAGCCGAATAACTGAATGCTAATTCACCTGTAGCACTTCTAGAGTTACTGCCGGTCCCAAGCCCGGGTAAAGAAGGAGGGTTGGGCATGGGGTTAGCGACCCCATCCCGTAGAAAAGCTAACTCGCTAAAAAAACGCTAACCAGAAAAAATAATTCAAACCATTTAGACTCTGCCCTGGGAGTTGAAGGAATAATTATGACGTCTCATGATGAAAGCCGAAATTCTTCGGAAGTCACGAGACCAATGCACCTTCTAACAACCAGAGCAACACTCTTTATAGGTACATGGAACGTCCGGACAATGTGGGAGACAGGAAAGACCAGCCAAATAGCAATGGAAATGAGGAGATACAACTTGGCAGTACTCGGAATCAGCGAAACCCATTGGACACAAACTGGACAACAAAGGCTAGGTACAGGAGAGATGCTGCTGTACTCCGGTCACGAAGGGGATAATGCTCCACACACTCAGGGAGTTGCTCTAATGCTGTCCAAAGAAGCACGAAACGCACTTGTGGGATGGGAATCTCATGGACCCAGGATAATCAAAGCATCATTCAGAACAAAGAAGCAAGGGATCACAATGAACATTATCCAACGTTATGCACCCACTAATGATAACAACGACGATGATAAAGATCAGTTCTATGAAAGGCTGCAATCAACTATAGGGAAGTGCTCACGAAAGGACCTCACCATCCTGATGAGAGACCTAAATGCTAAAGTTGGGGTGGACAACACAGGATATGAAGATGTAATTGGACGACATGGATTAGGAGAGAGAAATGAATATGGGGAGAGACTTGTAAACCTATGTGCATTCAACAAATTGGTTATAGGCGGCACAATATTCCCACACAAGCGCATACACAAAGCTACATGGATCTCACCGGACCACAGCACAGAGAACCAGATAGATCACATCTGTATCAGCAAAAATTTCCGAAGATCAATGGAAGATGTAAGAACCCGGAGAGGAGCTGACATAGCTTCAGATCACCACCTGGTTGTGGCCAAGATGAGACTGAAGCTTAAGAAAGACTGGACAACTGGACAAACAGCACTACAAAGGTTTAATACAGCCTTCCTTCGAGATACTGACAAACTCAACGAATTCAAGATAACTCTCAACAACAGGTTCCAAGCTCTACAGGATCTACTGAAAGAACAAGAAACTACTTTGGAGGACAACTGGAAAGGGATAAAAGAAGCATTAACTTCAACGTGTCAGGAGGTTCTTGGTCCTAAGAAGCATCATCACAAGGAATGGATCTCTATGGGAACCCTGGACAAAATTCAAGAAAGGAAGAACAAGAAACTAGCAATTAAGAACAGCCGCACACGAGCAGAGAAAGTCAAAGCACAAGCAGACTACGCAGAAGCAAACAGGGAAGTGAAGAAAAGCATTAAAGCCGACAAGCAGAAATACATGGGAGAACTAGCAGCGGCGGCGGAAAAAGCTTCAAGAAAAGGGAATATGAAACAACTATATGATACAACGAAGAAATTGGCAGGGAGATATAGCAAACCAGAGAGACCAGTCAAGGACAAAGAAGGGAAAGCAATCACTGAGATTCAAGAACAGAGGAAAAGATGGGCAGAATACTTCGAGGAACTGCTGAATAGACCAGCCCCATTGAATCCACCGAACATCGAAGCAGCCCACACAGACCTTCCAATAGATGTCACTCCACCAACGATCGAAGAAGTCAAGATGGCCATCAGACAAATCAAAAGTGGGAAGGCGGCGGGACCTGACAATATACCAGCAGAAGCACTGAAGTCAGACATTGAAATAACTGCAAACATGCTTCACCTTCTATTCAAGAAGATTTGGGAAGAGGAACAAGTGCCAATAGACTGGAAAGAAGGATATCTCATCAAGATACCAAAGAAAGGAGATCTGAGCAAATGTGAGAACTACAGAGGCATCCGTTTGTTATCAGTAGCAGGAAAAGTTTTCAACAGAGTGCTGCTGAATCGGATGAAAGACGCAGTAGACGCCGAACTTAGGGATCATCAGGCTGGATTCCGTAAGGATAGGTCGTGCACAGACCAGATTGCGACACTACGGATCATTGTTGAACAATCAGTTGAGTGGAACTCATCACTATACGTCAACTTCATTGACTATGAGAAGGCGTTTGACAGCGTGGACAGGAGAACATTATGGAAACCTCTTCGACACTATGGAGTTCCTGAAAAGATTGTCAACATTATCCAAAACTCATACGATGGATTACAGTTCAAAGTGGTGCATGGAGGACAGCTGACAGATGCATTTCCAGTAAGGACCGGAGTCAGACAAGGCTGTCTACTCTCCCCATTTCTCTTCCTTCTAGTGATTGACTGGATTATGAAGAATTCGACATCTGAAGGGAAATACGGAATACAATGGACTTCTCATAATCAATTAGATGATTTGGACTTCGCAGATGACCTAGCCCTCCTCTCATACATACGAACAAATGCAGATGAAGACCGCAAATGTAGCAGCAGCCTCCGCATCGATAGGCCTCCACATTCACAAAGGAAAAAGCAAGATTCTCAAATGCAACACGGAGAACACCAACCCAATCACACTTGATGGCGAAACTCTGGAAGAGGTGGGAACATTCACGTACCTGGGGAGCATCGTTGATAAACAAGGAGGATCGGATGCAGATGTAAATGTGAGGATTGGCAAAGCAAGGGCAGCATTTCTACAATTGAAGAACATATGGAACTCAAAACAACTCTCAACCAATTTCAATGTCAGAATTTTTAACTCGAACGTCAAGACAGTCCTACTGTATGGAGCTGAAACGTGGAGAACTACTACGGCCATCATCAGGAAGGTACAAGTATTTATAAATAGTTGTCTACGCAAATTAGTCAACATCCATTGGCCGGATACTATCAGCAACAGCGTTTTATGGGAGAGGACAAACCAGCTTCCAGCTGAAGAGGAAATTAGGAAAAGACGTTGGAAGTGGATAGGACATACATTAAAGAAATCACCAATGTGCATCACAACTCAATCCCTAACTTGGAATCCTGAAGGGAAACGGAAAAGAGGAGGGCCAAAGAACACACTACGCTGGGAAATAGAAGCCGATATGGAAAGGCTGAATAGTAACTGGAAAGAACTGGAAAGGAAGGCTCAGGACAGAGTTGGATGGAGAATGCTGGTGAGCGGCCTATGCTCCTCCACATGGGGTAACAGGCGTAAGTAAGTAAGTAAGTAAGTTTCAAAATAAAGTTGCATCAACTGAGAGGTCACCATTACCTGGACCAACACAGGCTACTTAACCTCCTGTCCTTTTCAAACTGAAACCGACCTAAGGCC